TCCGCATGCATTCATGCTCCTGGGAGTGTGTGTGTGTGTGTGCGGGGGGGGGGGGGGGGGCACCTGGTTAGAGGTCAGAGGAGGCACGAGGGGGCTGGGACAAGTAGGAGCAAATGTGGTATTCCTGAAGAACTTCTGAGGTTGGGAGTCTCTGGGTCAGATCTAGGGATTCCCTTAACTGGATATGGGGCTGGCTGAGGTCTGTGGCTCTCCCCCAGCTTCGGCACGTGTAGGGTGTATTCAGATTTGAGCACATGAGAGTAGCCTCAAGACTGCGGTTTTCTGGGGGAGACCTAATTAGGTTTGTTGGGGGCATCCCTGGGGTCTGAACAGGTGGCTGGGCTGGCTTGGGCTGATGTTGCACAGGGCAGAGAGTTCCCTTGGAAGGGCTCCCTAAGGTTAGAACATCTGAAAATCTCTCTAGATCTGGTTGTGGTGTCCAGAGACCCCTATGCCGGGCGCTCTGAGCATATTTGGGGGGTGTTGTCGTTGGGGTATTTGTGGGACCTTGTTGAGAAGTCTCTCCAGGTTTGAGATGTGTGGTGAGCAGCTCCATACCTAGGGTTGTTTGAGAGGGTTTCCTACTTCCGTTGGAATATCTTCCATTGGAATACATGGGCTCTGAAATGGGACTGGGATCTTAGGTGGCAGGAGTTTCCCTCGGGAGGGACCCTCCAGGGTGGGGCATTTGAAGGTCCCTGGGTAGGGAGGGAGGTCCCCTCTGACCTTGGCAATCTGGTCGAACTTGCCAAAGAGCTCGTTGAGCATGAGCACCAACTCCTTAGGGGAGCACTCACTGGCCAGCCTCGTGAAGCCCACGATGTCAGCATATAGCACGCTGTGCAGGGCAAATGGCATCAGGGGGGCCAAGATCTCAGCCCACACCCCCCGCCCCTCTGGCCATCCCCTCTCATACCTGACTCCCTGGTGCCTCTTGACATAGAGGCTGTGGAAGTTGTTGGTGCTCTCTGGCCGTGACCCCTGTCCAGCCTGCAGCCGTGCCATGATCTCTGCCTTCATCTCTCGGGCCAAGTAGGCAGGAAGGATGGACAAGAGAAGGTGTTCCTGGAGGAGATCACTATGAACACCTACCCTCTTGCAACCTAAAGCCAGGAGTCCCAGCCTCCCAACGACCTAGGAGCTCACCCACTTCCCCAGCCCCACCAGGTGGGCCCCAGGCTACTCCCCCAGATCCTCCCCATCACACAGAGCTGGGCTTCAGCACCCCATCCTGCACTAATCATCTTTAGGGACTGAACTCCCAGCACCGATGCCAGAATTAGGGTTCTTCGTTTAGTATCATAAAAGTGCTTTTAGAAGCTTCAGGGTTTTCGAGACTTAACACAACTTTCCAAGGTGGGCGGTAGCCACGTTTTACAAAGGAGGAGAGAGAAGGGCAAGTAACCTGCCCAAAGTCATTCGGCTTGCAAAGGAGCCCCGTTGTGTGATATAAACAACTCCTTTCTCAAACTCCGGTCCCGCCCAGCCTCCCAGGCCCAGCGGACCTGGTGCTTCTTCTCGGTGTCCAGCCGGCGGCGCGAGTGCAGGGAGCGAAGAGCCTCCCGGAACGTGGCGCGCAGCGCGCGCTCCATCAGCGCCTTGTGGTACGCCCCCGCCACGTTCCCGCACAGGAACAACACGGCGTTTGCTGCCAGCTGGGGGAGCGGAGAGGGTCAGCCTCAGAGCGCGCCGGCCGCAGCTGGCGGGGGGAGTGGCTACGTGTGTAGCTGGCGTTGGTCCCCAGGAGGGTTGAGGAGGACTCCACAGTGAGAGACCGGAGTATTTCCAGGCCATCGGTGCCACACTGCCCAGTCCCTCGGGGGCGCTTCTCCTGCCCCAGTGTCCCTGCTCTAGACTCAGTTGAGCACCAACAAGGCCTCTTAGGCCTAGAAACCCTTGCACACACATTTCCTCTGCCTGGAACACCACCCCACCATTTACGCCCCTCCATGTCCCCCGCAGCACAAAACTACTCAAGCTCCAATTTTTACATTCGCTGTGAAGGTTCCATCATCCACATCTGTCCCCACAACTCTGGTCCCCTGGGGAAGTCTCTTCCCCGTGGGCCCAGAGGGGTCTTCTGGGGTCTGCAGCATCATGCATGCAGCAGTGGTGTACCAGCTCCACGAGGGCACCATCTGGGTGTATGTGTTTGTACCCTGTGCTTAGCGTGGCGCCCTGCCATGGAGTCCCAGCTCAGCAAGCAGTTGGTGCATGCTCAGAGAAACCAGCGGCGTGCCGCCCAGCGGGCCCTGGGCGCAGTGGGGGCCCGGGGGCGCAGCCTGGGCTACATGTGTGCGTTCTCACCTGCGGCAGCAGCGCTGGCCGGGAGTCCGGCTGAGGCCCCAGGTACAGCCCAAGGACCAGCAGGTGGGAGAGTGATGAGGCAAGACCCGCAGCGGCGGCATCCCGCATGCCCAAGGGCAACATGGCATACACGGTGAAGATGATGAAGAGGAAAAAGGACACCTGGGGGAGAGGCACACGGGAAGCTGTTGGCTGCTCTTGGCCCGGGCGTCCTCCTGCCCCCTGCTCCACCTGCCGCTCCTCTCACCTGGTCCCAGGCGCTCACCAGGCCCCCAGTGAACTGGAAGCCATGGCCTAGCCCGAGTAGCGCGGCCCACACCAGGACCGACAGGGGGCGTGTCCAGCGCTGCAGTCGTTGCTCGCGGGAAGCCAGGCCCAGGAGCAGCGAGAAGCCACCCAACGCGCACAGCACAGTGGTCAGGAAGCCCCGGTCTGAAGCTAGATCCTGTGGGGAGGGGGTGCTTGCGGCAAGACTGGAGTGCGGAGTTTGGCGAGCTCCTCCAAGTTGAAGAACAGGCAGCCCTCAGGCCACTTCTGAAAAGTGTCTCAAACTCAAGTCGGAAAAGGAGACAGGGCACCTGGGCTGGCCATTCAGATTAGGTTGAACCATAGGAAGTTGCCAAGAATCTGTTTTAATCTACAGAGCTGGGGGGTGGGGGGGTGGGGCGCCTGGGTGGCTCAGTCGTTAAGCGTCTGCCTTCGGCTCAGGTCTTGGTCCCAGGGTCCTGGGATCGAGCCCTGCATCGGGGCTCCCTGATCAGCTGGAAGCCTGCTTTTCATTCTCCCACTCGCCCTGCTTGCGTTCCTGCTCTCACTCTCTCTGTCAAATAAATAAATAAAATCTACAGAGCCTGCAATGGTTCAACCTCATATCTCACTGGCAGGGTGCTAGAGCCTTGGGCCATCTACCCAGAGCCTACCCATATGGTGCATTTGTGAATCTACGACCTTTCTGAGCTCGTTTTCTCATCTGTCAAATAGGAATTGGAACACCATCCTGGGGTCCCGACGCAAGTGAAAAGCCTACCTCACAGAAGGCACTTAGGAATGAGTGTATCCAAATCTGGCCAATTTGCTCAGGAGAGTCCCTGCCCTGGGCACAAGGGTGGGAGTAGTTTCCCCCCCAGCTCCAAAAAGTGCTCCAGCAGCAGGGGGCACCTGGAACCTCCCTCGTGGCAGGGCAGCGGGGAGCACTACACTTTCACCACCCACGTCTGGGCGTCGACCTCCTGCCGCTGTCCCTGCCCTGTGTCCCCACCTCTTCCTGGACTTCAAGGTGGCCCAGCAAGAATTGGTCAGTTTAGTGGCTTCCCCAACTCGCCTCCAAAAAGTGAAAAGAAAACTTGGAGCAAGATACTCCCAGAAATGGAATTGAAGATCCTCTTTCTCCTAAAAAAAAAAAAAGGAAACTGGAAATGGCTTTATTTGGGGACTAAATGTGAGTGGGATGGAGGATGCCTTCTGGGAGTCTATGGGTACAGCTGCCCCACAGCCCCTATGAGAGAAAGAAAACCAGGAAACAGATTCCCACGGGGCCCCATGTAATTTCCCTTCTGGAAAACTGGAAAACCCGGTGTTGAATTTACTCTAGAACCAGTAGATCACAGAAGCTCAGAAGGTCTGTCAGTACCCTGAGAGAAATTAAAAGCACCCAGGGCTCAGCTTTCTCCCAGCGGCCCAGCGACTGTGGCCCAGAGAGGTGCAGTGACTTGTCCAGGATCACTACATTTCCTAGCAAGGCTCGGTGCTTCTTTCCTGGGTTCCAGCAAAGAACGCATGTCAAAAAGAAGACCCCTCCCTAAGTCCCTACCCCGAAAACGCCCTCTAGACGGTGACCCTCCTGCCACCCTCGGGAAGGAGCCCCCAACCCCAACAGAAGCAGCCCCACTCACCCTGCCGCTGGCGGAGGCGACAGCTAGCATCGCCAGGAGCGCGCAGAGCACGATCACCAGCAGCAGAAGCAGCAGTGGGTACTGCTGGCTCAGGCTGTAGTAGGTCTCGTAGAAGAGGTCTTCGCTGGGGGGTGGCCGGGGACTGAAGAGGCGGGCCATGGTCCCCCCTGTCCTGGGCTGCGTGGCCTCGGGGGTGGAGGGCGGACCCCCGGGCTGGGGAGGGCCAGGGGCTGCGTTACTGCCTGTAGCCGCCCGGGGCCCCAACTGTGCCTCTCTCACTGGGTCCAAGCCACTTCCACCCCGTTTCCCCAACCTGGCGGCAATCCGAGCTGCCAGGCACTCCCCGGCGCCTCCCAGCCTTTTCCCAGTTGGCTGTGAGAAGACTGCCCCATCCTTCGCTCCTCCTCCCTCAAACCCAGACTGCAGAGATGCCCTAGCAAAAGCCTTGGCTGTGAGTGGGGCAGGATTTGGGGTTGAAGCAAAGGAGCCTCGGGTTCCTCTTTTACCCCCAAACTCACTGCCGGGATGCTGCCGCGGCTTGAATGGGCGAGGCCCGAGGAAGGAGCCCGGGCAGCCGGTGGCCGAGTCCCGATCGATCGCCGAGAAGCTAGTGGCTCAGAGCCCCGGGCGGCGGGCGCTTCCCTCCCTGCGCGGGGGCCCCCTCCCACTTCCCCGACGGGACTGCCCTGCCCGGCCCCTTCCCGTGCCGAGGCGGACTCCCCAGGCCTCCTCCCTCCCTCATTGTCTCCTCTAACACTGTTGTTGCCTCCCTCCTCCAGCCCCCTCAAGCAAGGGGAATGCGAACCGTGGGAGAGGCGAGGGGGTGGGGTGGGCCAGGCTGAGCAGCAAGTGTCAAAATGGGGTGGGCCCTTGGCCACCAGGAGAGTGAAGGAGCGCTGGAGTGAAGGCTGGTGAGAATGTAGGGAAGGATGTGAGGCCCAATCGGGGCTAGGATTTAGGTCGGATGGGGAGGGGGCGGCGGGTGGGCCCGTTCTGCTCCCCTCCTGCCTGGATACAGCTGCTGTGGAGTCTGGGAACTGTTCCTGTCCCACCGGGTCCTGCTCCATGGGAGGGGGCACGTCTGTGTGTAGCTCTGTGGAGCCAAAGCTTTCCACCGCAGACACCAGCTGAGGGTCAAAGGGCTCCGCCTGGGCAGCAACGTGCGCGGGAGCGCAGGCGGTGGAGGGGAATAAGAAATCAGGCTGATTTCTGGAGCCTCCGAGAGGCTGGGGGCATTGTGCAGGGCAAGAGATGTGCCGGGGTCTTCCAATGCCCATGGAGAGCCCTCTCCCCAGCACCCCACTGCGGCGTCTCCGTAGCCCAGAGGAAAAGGGGGGCCCAGAGGAAAAGGGAGACTATCCCCAGAATTTTGGTATAGGGTAGGGTCTCAGCCGATCTAGAGGAAGTGGTCCGCCCAGGATTAGAGCGGCCCATGGAGCCAAGGCCTCAGGGATTCCTTCCTGCCGCCAGCTGGGCCCTGACCTTGTGTGCCACGCCGCCACCCACCCCCAGCCCGGAGCATCCCGCTTCCGGCCTCGGCTAGAGGGCAGGGCCTCCCTCCGGATCAGCTCCGACCGACGGCTAGAGGGCAGGGCCTCCCTCTGGATCAGCTCCGACCGACGGCTAGAGGGCAGGGCCTCCCTCCGGATCAGCTCCGACCGAACGCAGGATGCAGGCTCCCATCCGCGTCTCCACCGCCAGCCCCTGGCCTAAGCCTTAGCCTCCCAAGTGTGGCGCTTTGGTTTTCAAAACCCATCACGTTTATTGACTTCCGTGTGCACAAATCAGTTGGCCGTCAAAGAAAGCCTCAGCTAATTGCCTCACATCCAAGAGGTAGCTCAGAAGGTGCGTCATACCAGCCCTGCAGCCGGCTCCGGGCTTCTTGGTTCTTGCGGCCCTCCTTTCCAACCTACTTGTGGGGGGCACGCGGCCTGCCTTGACCCTGGCCCCAAGGCGCCAGGCCTGGCGTGGGCAAGGCAGTTCCTTCTTGTATAACCAAGTAGTTGTTGTCGCCCACCTGCACCGCATGGCTGTCACGTATGGTAACAGGATTCCCTTTAAGAGAGATTGTATTGGTGGGGCGGTGAAGCAGTCGGGGAAACGGACTCAAAATTAGGAGGAGCGCCGGGGTGGAGGGGCAGCGGCACTTTGTGTCCATCCTGGGCAAATGCCAAGTATGGGGTCTCTAGGGCAGCCTGCGACTGTGTCAAATGTGCCCTTGGGCGTTGTGCTGCCCCTTCGGAACTGGGTTTGCAGAAGCTCAGAAGGAGTGGCAGCTAATGTCTGAGACCCTGAAATTTGGGGTTTTTTCTTCTAGGAGCCCCTCTGAGCCAACAGAGCAACAGCAGAAGTTAGGGGTTCACAGAGTTAGTTCTGGGGAAAGTCAGAAGGCCCAGGGCAAATCCAGGCTTTGCTGTGTGCCCTCAGCAGGACCCCAGGCCCAGTGGGTGTCAGTTTCTTCATTTATGACATGAGAAGTTTGGGGTAGTTGGCCCCTAGCCCTTTCTCCCGCTACCCAAGGTAACCTGGATCTATAGACAGTCTTGAGGAAGAAGCCGTTGGGAGAACTGAGTAGGAGAAAGGAAGGAGTGAGGAGCAGGTACCTGGTTTTGGATTGGGCCGTGGTGCCCTGGGAGACCAGTTGGTGCCACGTCTCTTAGCCCCCTGCAAACAACACAGCTCTCTTGGGCTCTCCGTCTTGGGACCGGTTCCCCTGCTGCATCCCCCTCAGCCCCAAGTTCTCCCTGGCAAGGGGGACAGGATTCACGGGAGTCCTAGTGCATCCTCTAGTCCTGCCAGTGTCTCACCTGATTCCCTTTGGGTCCAGGACCTGGGGTCCGAGCCAAGTTGGGGCTGGGCATCTGATTTCTGAAAAGTGAGGTCTCTGGAGTTTGGGGAGATGGGGCTGTTGAATCGGAAGATATCCCTGCTATCTGGGCGGCCTGAACTTTGTCTTCCCCTGCCCTGATCCTCTCAGGAAGGTTTGTGCATTTTTTAGGAACAGAGCTGGGGGACTCCTTCAGATTTAGTTTGTTTAGCATCTCAGTGGCTATGATGTCATGGCTTCCTGTGGTTCCCCTAGGGCCTTCCGTTTCTGTCCCTCCTGGGCCTGGCTTAGGCACAGACGACATCCTGTTGCTGCCCCGGTTTTCACACAGGAATTTCTTCACCTGCAAGGACACGGGGAGCTTTCTGGGCATGGAGGTGGGAGAGCCAGCCTAAACCCAAGGGAGGAGTCTCTTGGTCCATAATCTATTACCTGGGAACTCAGTGGTGAGGTGGGGAGAGTGAGGACAAAGATTAAGGCACAAAGAACAGTGGTCAGTGGGGAGTCATTGAGTGGCCAAGGGAGCCATGTTGTGCCATCCTTGCCCAGCTCCTGGGTTGGGGGTGTGGCACTGGACACTCACCGTGGAGACTGCGGCATCCATCTCCTTGGTTACCAGACTGAGGGCTTGCTCGGTGTTTTGTCGGCATTCTGGAGACAAGACAGAGTGGGTGGCAGACAGGTGAGCCAAACCTTCCCAGGGAGAAGCCCTCTGCTGACAGGTCCAGGCCTACCCTGGCCGCCAGCTCACTGGCCAGTTCACCTTGGAAGGAGGGCCTGTCCTTGGGCTCCTGGCCCCAGCAGTGCTGCATTAAGTCCGTCAGTCCTTCCAAGCCAGGAGTCTTAGGGCTGGGCTGGGGCAGCTTGGTCAGCGGGGGCCGGATCCACCTCTCACACCCTGCTTCCTGCTCCAGCGATGTCTGGGCCACTACAGGGGTAGGGGTGGGGGAATGCAAAGAGAAGACATTCAGGGTATGAGGGGCCACTTGTTCCATCATGGAAGGGGGAACGGAGTGTAGTCCAAGGGGAGGTGAGGAGAAGGTCGGGTGGCCCGAGTGGGTAAGCTGGAAGACAGAAGGGATGGAGGCTTGCAGGAGGAGGGCACCCGGAGTTAAGGATCCCAGTGTCTGCCCAGAGTCTTACTCTCAGCTTCTCTTCCAGCTAGCACTGCCCACATTAGGATCCCGAAGCTGCAGGAGACACAAAGCTGAGGCCTGGCCCAACTGCTGGCAAAGATTCCTTTCCCATATACGGTCCCCTAGAAGGGCCCAGAGAGGTGTAGAAATGTGGAATGAGTATTTGGCGTGGGTACCTTACCTGTAGACATCGCTAGCCATGGAGGCGTTCTTGTTTACATCAGCCAACAGTTCTGGGGCCAAGTAGGCTGAGGCTGACTCCCCAGAGCCAGCTCCTAACCTTGAACCTCTCTGAAACGTGGACAGGCCAAAATCTGCCAGCTGTAAGGGAAGGAAGAGGGGGAAGGTAGAGGATGGACAGGGCCAGGCAGCTTCCAGAATCCCCTCTCCCACCACAAGGTACAGGTCCAGCCTTATAAAGGGGGTTTTGAGGGTTAGGGGAATGGCAGGGCCAGTGGGGCCCTTGGGTTGGAGGTGTGGGTCCCCTCTTCAGGGGGCTGGGTCAAGGTCTGAGTCTCCTGAGCTAGGTCAGCCATGGGTCTTTGGACGGACTGGTGGGTGGGCCTGTGGAACTGACCATATGGGTCAGGGTTGCTCCCACCTGGTAGGGTAGGGGCTAAAGCTCCTGGCTGGGCTTTGACCCTCGGGCAGCCCTGTGTCCGGAGGGAGATGCTGAGGGTACGGAGTAGAGAGGGCTGCAACAAGTTCTGCGTCCAGGGGCTGGGCTGGGCTATGGATAGGCTGACCTTGGCGTGCAGGTCTGAGTCCAGCAGGACGTTGGAGGGCTTGATGTCCCGGTGCAGAAGCACGGGGTTCTGGCCATGCAGGTAACACATCCCCAGCACGAACTCCTGCAGCAGGCGGCAGAGGAGAGGCCAGGGACGAGGACAGCCGGGCTGCAGCAGCCCTGCCAGGGAACCATTTTCCAGGAACTGAGTCACCAGAGCCGGCCCGCAGGTGGATTCCCACTGTAGCTTCTGGGTGACCCCCAGCAGGAGCAGTAGGTGCTGGTTGCGCAGACTTGCCATGGCCTTCACCTCCCTGGATATCGCCTCCCTACGCTCCAGGAAAGAGCGGAGTGGCGCCCTTGACTCCTGGATGATCCCTCCCCTCCCCATTCAGGCCCAGCGGTGGCCCCTCCTCCTTGGGCAGACCCTGGGAGGCCCGTGGCTCAGGTCACTCACCCCTTCAAGATCTTGACCGCCACATCTAAATCCCACGACCTGTGTCGCGCCCGGAACACCACCCCGAACCTGCCTGCGCCGATGAACTCTGGGTTCTCCAATTCTTCGACAGACACCAGGGAGGCTGGGGTACCGCGGAGCCTGAAAGAGGGGGTCTTCCAGCTCCTCCCCGTACCGCCCCCACCTCCGTGACCCTGGTGACTCCATGCGGTCAGTTCAAACTCTAGCTTCCCCGGCCCCCTGCCCCCCCGGGGGGGCGGGGGGCCCACGGTGCTTGTATCCCGCCCTGCACTGACCATAACTTGCCGCCAGACATCCGGCTGGAAGGTGCAAGTCCGCACGGAAGGAGGGACTTCTGGGAGCGGGGTTTGTGGCAGAGAAGGGCAGGGGGTCGTGAGAGGGATCAACCTCTAGGTTTGCTCCCCTACCCAGGGTGACTAAACCACTTCCTTCTTGGGCGGGTGCATCTACGGTCCCGCCCCAGCGGGGAGGGAGACAGAACGGAAGCCTTGAAGCCTCGGCTCAGCCAGGGGCGTCTGACGACGCGGTGGGCGCTGGAGGCAGAACCCAAGTGAGCGCTTTTCTTTTGTAACTCAGGGTTCCTGAGCATCTGCCGCGGCTCACAGCCAGCTTAACTGTCCCTGGGCACTTGGGTGCCGCAGAAGGAGTCCTCATCTGCCAGGAGCCCACGATCCACTCCGGCAGCTGGGGTCTCTGCCTTCTCCCACAGGATTTCTGGTTCCACCACCTGCCCGGGGTGGGGTGGGGAGGGGATGGTGCTGAGGAATGTTTTATGTTGCTAACGCCCAGCAATCCCCCAAATGCCCCTACGATCATAGCGGACAATTCTATAAAGCCTGAATGTGCCAGGTACCCGTATTAGTTCCCTCTCATGCTCTTTCTCACTCTCTCCCTCTCAAATAAATAAATAAAATCTTAAAAAATAAATAAATAAATGAAAACTGAGTTTAACACCATCAGACTCGTCCCTCAAGAAATTCTAATGGATGTGAACCAAGAAGATAAAGAAAACTTAAATCAGAGAACATGTGAGATGCAAGAAAGAAGAGCAGTTTTCTCAAAAATTCAACCACAAAACCAATTAGCATCATACCAGACCCACAGAAATGGGAGGGGGTGGCTCATTGATTTAAAAAAGACCTGCTGTGGGGGCCCCTGGCTGGTTCAGTGTGGGAGAGCATGTGACTCTTGTTCTCAGGGTTGTAAGTTCCGAACCCCACACTGGGTGCAGAGATGACTTAAAAAAAAACAACAATAAAATCTTTTTAAAAAATAAAAATAAAGATAAAAAAATAAAAAGACCTGCTACCAACAACTCCACTTCTGGGTATATAACCAAAGGAACTGAAAGCAGGGACTCAGATATTTGTATACCAATGTCTATCACAGCATTATTCACTGTGGCCAAAAGGTAGGAACAACCCAAATGCCCATCAATGGATGAACGGGTATACAGATATGGTATATATACATATAACGGGGATATTATTCAGCCTTAGAAAGGAATACGATTCTAACATATGTTACAATGGAGATGAACCTTGAAGCTATTATGCTAAGTAAAATAAGCCAGTCACAACAAGATATATATTGTATGATTCCACTTACATGAGGTACCTAGAATAATTCAATTCTAATTATTAGAGACAGAGGGAGAATGGTGGTTGCCAGGGGTAAGGGTGGGGAGGAAACGGGTAGTTACTGTTTCATGAGTACAGTTTTAGTTTGGGAAGATGGAAAGTGGAAAGATGAAGAGGGAAAGTTTCTGGAGATGGTGATGGTTATGCGATAATGTGAATATACTTAATGTCATTGAACTGTACACTTAAACATTATTAAAGTGGTACATTTTATGTATTTTTTTTTATAAAGATTTTATTTATTTGAGAGAGAGACAGCACAAGGAGGAAGAGCAAGGGGAAAGGGAGAAGCAGACTCCCTGCCGAGCAGGGACCCGGATGCAGGGCTGGAGCCCGATGCAGGGCTCGATCCCAGGACCCTGAGATCATGTCTTGAGCCGAAGGCAGACGCTTAACCGACTGAGCCACCCAGCCACCCAAAAGCTGGTCTTTTTTACACTTGATAGTTCCCAAAGCACTTACTGAAAGGCACCTCAGTTCTGTGAGGTTGGACCTCTTGTCAATTCTGTAGATGAAGAAACACAAAGTCCTCATTCTTTTGTCTGGACGTGAAAAACAAACAGAAAGCGATTTTATGTATGTTTTACCACAACAAAGACCTGCTAAAATGATGGCTCCGTGTTTCAGATGGCGAGATGTGAAGATTTATGTTAGTAAACATTTAGTTATTTGATTTGAACATTAAATTTTACTGGGGAAAAAGCAAAAGTATATATTTATATGTAATATATGATGTAGGAAAGATGTTAGGGTTCAAAGCCAACGGCCGAGAAAGAATTCTTGAGATGTCTTTGGTGCAAAAAGGTGGTTTTATGAAAGCACGCGACAGGACCCGTGGGCAGAAAGAGCCGCACCGTGGTCAGGAGGAGCGGCCCACGATATACTTTCGGTTGGGAGGGGGTTAGGGATAGCGTAGGTCTCTAAGGAATTTTGGAGGCAAGGTTTCCAGGACCTTGCTTTATTACTGTCTAATAAAACCTTAATCATGAGACCCTTCAGATGTATATCAGTGGATCATATGCTTGGGGGATGACTGCCAAGATGTGTCTTGGGGGTGGGGGGCGGGGTAGAGGTAAAGGAAGTTTCCAAAGGAATTTTTATATGTTAAAGTAGACTTACAGGATCCTGGGGGTCTGGCTAAGATTGCCTTTTGCCCTTAGCAAAGTATTAACATTGAGGCAGCTGAGTTCCTAGAGGAATGTCACTCTGCCCGTTTCAAGGACTTGTCAATGGGCTGTAAGTCGTAAGAAAAGTTAATTTTTCTTTTGCCTTTGTTTCCCACATCAATATATATATATTTAGAAAAATATAATAATATGTATACATTTTTGTATATTATAATATATAATACATATTTAGAAAAATATCTAAATGGACAATAGAAAAGCTTTAAAGTTATGGCTGGTGAGGAGGGGCACCTGGGTGGCTCAGTCCGTTAAGCGTCTGCCTTCGGCTCGGGTCATGATCCCAGGGTCCTGGGATCGAGCCCCGCATCGGGCTCCCTGCTCGGCTGGAAGCCTGCTTCTCCCTCTCCCACTACCCCTGCTTGTGTTCCCTCTCTCGCTGTCTCTCTCTGTCAAATAAATTAAAAAAAATAAAAAAAAAATAAAGTTATGGCTGGTGAATTTACAGGTGATTTTTATTTTCTTCTTATGTGTCATATTTGTATTTTTTTATTTGCATTTCCTAATTTTCCTAAAACGAATTCTCAAATAGTACATTTCAGCCTCCTCTTCTCCCCCAGGACATTGGCCAGAGATGCAGCCACTTCCCTCTGCCACCGGCCACCTGCCCTGACCCAGAAACGGACTCTGTGGGCTCTTGGTTTCCTGCAGCTATTAAGGAGGCCTACTGGCAGCATCTTGGCTACTTGGCTGAAGTTAGCCCTTGGCAGTCCTATGATGAGTAGGATTTTGGCAGACATAAACCCGGGAGAGGTGAAGAGGTGATTGCAGTCAGAGAGGATGTTGCGAGCAAAGGTGCGAACTTTGGAAAAGGCAGGAGTCCAGAATGGCTGAGTGACCTGCCCCCCCACCCCAGCACTGTTCTCATCATCGCTGTCATCAGCGATGATAAAAGCTGGTCTTTTTTACACTTGATAGTTCCCAAAGCACTTACTGAAAGTCACCTCAGTTCTGTGAGGTTGGACCTCTTGTCAATTCTGTAGATGAAGAAACACAAAGTCCTCGTTCTTTTGTCTGGACGTGAAAAACAAACAGAAAGCCATCAGGAAGCTATTTGGGCAGCAGTGTGGACCGCTCCTCCTCGGGGGGCACCCTTATCTCTGCTCCCAGCTGCTGAAAAACAAACCCTCACCAGAGGGGTAAGGGTGAACTACGGACAAATGAGCTGTCACTTTGGGGGACTGGGTTGCACTCAAACTTGGAAAAGTCACAAAACAAACCCCAGGGTTTGAGCGGAGCCATGGGGAAAGTGTTCCACTCGGAGCGGGATCTGTGATACTGTGATTTACAATAAGAAGTATATTCGACCCCATTCCTGGAACAGAGCTACGAAACCCTTGGAATTTCCTGAAGGAAAGCGGAAAGAGGTGTCTTCTGTTATGTTAATGAGGTGACCGTCGGAAAGCCGGGAGATAACCTGAGGGAGGGGGCTGGGTGCCGTGGTTGGTCGCCTGTCCGGTAACTGGACGATTGAAACTTTCAGTTCTACCCCACCCCCCTCCCCCGACCTCTGTGGGAGGCGAGATGAGCTGGAGGTTGAATCCAACCCCCGTGACTGATGACTTGATCATGACTATGTGACGAAGCCCCATAAAATCCCGAAAGGATGGCGTCTGGAGGGCTCCTGGGTTGGTGACAGGAGGTGCTGGGACAGTGGTGCTCTCATGGTGCAGGAACACCGTGCCCTTTACGGCACACCCTGCCCTATGCGTCCCTTCCATCTGGCTGTTCCTGAGTTACATCCTTTATAATAAACCGGGAATCTAGTAAATAAGATGTTTTTCCGTGTTCTGTGAGCTGCTCTAGCACATTAATCAAACCCAAGGCAGGGTTCAGTGGAAGCTCCAGTCTATAGCCTTCTTGGTCAGAAGCACGGATGACAATCTGGATTTGCAATTGGTGTCTGAAGCAGGGTCTATGTGCGTCAGTCCTGTGGGATGGAGCCCTTAGCCTGTGGGATCTGATACTATCTCTAGATAGATCGTGTCAGAACTGGGTTGAATTGTAGGACACTCTGCTGGTGTCCGATCATTTCTCGGTGGCGTGGGAAACCGCTCTTGCTACACACATGTTGGAATTGGGTCCGGAACTTTAAGATTCCACCTGCCATGCTCCCTGCTTCTCTCTGCCCTTGGGGTTGATGTTTTGGGAGCCCTTTCCAGTGCCCAGGATGTGCTCTTTTCCTTCAGCCGTCCAAGCAGGTCAAAGGCCCTTTTTAACTCGTTTTTCCTTAGCAAAGGTGAGAGAACGATGATTTCACAAAGAACCGCACTGCCCGTAGGGCCCTCTGCCCCCGCAAAATGGAATCACTGCTCATTTGTCATCTGTTTCTTCGCAGAGCACGTGCAAATGATGTCCCATTGGCAGATTGGAAGTTGCCTGTCCGCACCGTCCAGGCTGGGGAGGCTGGGAAGGGTAATTTCTCTTTTTATTCTACCTTAGTGAGATGGGACTAAAACGATTTTTAGCAGCCATCGGTGGTAAGTGTCTGCACACATACGACCATCATAATGTCCCTTCTATCAATGTGGAGTCCTCTCTTTGCTTACTTCGTCTAGTTAATGCTGAAGATCTAATTTTGATACTCTCCCAGCCCCTCTCATCCCTGGAGGCTGGGCAGGGGGAGTGGAGGGCAGGCCACTGCTTCAAATCGCTTCTCCAGCGGGATGTTTGTTTTATTTATTTACAGGAGTTGAGTATAGCTGGATGTTTAATTTATTTATTTATTTACAGAGGGAGTTGAGTATATAGCCTGATGGTCAAAGGTCCAGGCTCTGAGGTCAGACTACGTGGGGTTGAATTCTGGCTCTGCAAGTTACCAGCTGGTTGACATTAAGCAAGTTATTCAACGTCTCTGAGCTTCAGGTAATTAAAGTCCTTACTGGATCGGATTGTGTGGGCCTGACTCGAAAGAAGTCATGAGAGGCGCCTGGGTGGCTCAGTTGTTAAGCATCTGTCTTTGGCTCAGGTCATGATCCCAGGATCCTGGGATCGACGAGGCCCACATCGGGCTCCCTGCTTGGCGGGAGGCCTGCTTCTCCCTCTCCCACTCCCCCTGCTTGTGTTTCCTCTCTCGCTGTGTCTCTCTCTGTCAAATAAATAAATAACATCTTTAAAAAAAAAAAGAAAGAAAGAAGTCGTGAAAGAATGCAGCGCATTTCCAGGTACAAATTACGTGCTTCACTAGTGATAGGCACTCATGCAATAAACATTATTGTGTTTTCTAGATCACAGCGTATCTGTAGAGCAGAGACAAATGATTTAACTGCTACTCGGTGAAACAGCTCTTCCTTCTTCTGGTAAATCCCTGCCCCACCCTTTCCTCCCAGGGTCCCTTCAGTGACTCACCCCTCAGGTATTCTCTCTTCTCTCTCCCAGACAAATGTCCTGAGGGAGGGATTGAGGAAGTCAGTTGTGTCCCTGCCTGTGTAGTCTTGGGGGGAGAGAACTTTAGTCCTGGGTTTCTAGCTTCTCAGCTGAAAGGTACTTGAGTTGTGTGCCCGACACAGAGGTGCTCCCCGTTGTTGACTGGAGGATGGGCTTTGGGCCTGAGGCAGCTACTTTTGGTGCCCCGGGCCACATGTCCTTGGCCACTTTTGATTTGAGCTGTGGTTGCTCGGAGGGTCCCATAACCCTGCCAGTGCCTCATGCAACAGGCCTGTCTCTGCCTCAGTTAACAGAAGTGTGGTGAGAAGAGTGGAGGTAATGCTGAGGGCAGTTCTTATGCAAGAAAGGACACAGGCCAGTGCCCCAGCCTCCTGTCCTTTGAGGGTCAGTTCTGAGGTGCGTTCTACAGTTCCACACAGGGTCTCTGGCTGGACTTGATGAGGGAACAGAAGGCTAGCTGAGGACAAAGTGGAAGCTGACACCCTACACCCCCCCCCCCCTTGGGATATATGTGACATTCCTCAGGCACTCCGGGCTGCCCTAAAGGAAAAACAAATGGTTAACTGATAGAGATTACAGTCCTGCAGGACAGGAGTCTCCCTCAGTTTACAAATGTCCTAGTGATTTAAAAGAAAGAAGCTTTCTTATCAATAGCCTAACTTCCAGAGACCCATAACTCAGTTTCCTAAAGCCCTAGAATCACCCTCCCCTCCATAAAATTAAGGGATGCTGAGGCAGAAGGAAATGTAAATAAAATTGTATTTCTTTTAAACCTAAAGCCCATTGACAAGGACGTGTGATAGGAGGAATGTAACATTCCTCCAGGAAACTCCCAGCTGTCTTCATGTTAGTGCCTTGGCTTGACAATAACCAGGCCTCTAGTATCCTGAGAGTCTTTAGCATATGACAGTCCTTCTGGACACCCCCTTTTTCCTCACCTCCCGAACTCCTGAGTATATTATCAGCCACCCCTCACAACCCCAGGGGCAGCAGCTCTTTCTGCCCACGGGTCCTCTCCCTGTGGTTTTTTTTTTTTTTTTAAGATTTTATTTATTGAGAGAGAGAATGAGATAGAGCATGAGGGGGAGAGGGTCAGAGGGAGAAGCAGGCTCCCTGCCGAGCAGGGAGCCCAATGTGGGACTCGATCCTGGGACTCCAGGATCATGATCTGAGCCGAAGGCAGCTGCCCAACCAACTGAGCCACCCAGGCGCCCTCCCTGTGCTTTAATAAACATTTTGCACCAAACACATCTCAAGAATTCTTTCTTGGTTGTCAGCTCCGGACCTCACCCCACCGAACCTCTCACGTATTCTAAAACTTCATCAGACTAAGCTCCGTATCAGTAGCTAGTTCAATATGCACTTGTCGATTGGCCTTTTCTCCTTCCCTGACTCACATTGCCCCCCCCCCCCCCCCTCCTGGCTCCTGGGACTACCCTGCAGGAAGTCTCCAGTTCTGGTCTCAGGCACTGTTTTCAGGAGAACACAATCCAAGCCCTCTGCCCTGTTTCCTCCTCATTGTTTCTCCTCTGATTGTCTTTGTGACTAGGATTCCTCCCTGTCTGCAAGGAGAGGGGAAAGGAAGGGAACAGAAAGGAATCTAACTGCCTCAGAGATGGGGCCTAATTGTATTCTGGCATCTAGGATGGGCTAGGACTCTGTTATCTCCCTTAAATTTTAGCAACAAACCTGTGAGGCGTATTACTATTAGCCCCATCTTCTGGATGAAGAAGCCTTCGGGAGGCTGTGAGAATTTAAGTAACCAGCTCAAGGTCAGATGATAGCTTTAAGACAGGAGATTTTAAACCCCTTTAAACCCAGATCTCTGGGGCACCTGGGTGGCTCGGTCGTTGGGCGTCTGCCTTCGGCTCGGGTCAAGATCCCGGGGTCCTGGGATCGAGCCCCGCATCGGGGTCCCTGCTCGGCGGGCGGCCTGCTTCTCCCTCCCCCACTCCCCCTGCTTGTGTTCCCTCTCTCTCTGTCAAATAAATAAATAAAATCTTAAAAAAACAAAAAGATTTTATTTATTTATTTGACCAGAGAGATATAGCGAGAGAGGGTACACAAGCAGGGGGAGTGGGGGAGGGAGAAGCAGGCCGCCCGCCGAGCAGGGACCCCGATGCGGGGCTCGATCCCAGGACCCCGGGATCTTGACCCGAGCCGAAGGCAGACGCCCAACGACCGAGCCACCCAGGTGCCACAATAAATAAAATCTTTAAAGAATAAAAATAAACCCAGATCTTTGCTCTTTTAGCTACCTGCCTTTATGAGTGAGGTCCTTTGATAGAATCTGAAAGCAGGACTTTGAATCAAGTGAGACTATTGGGTTTTTAAAAATATTTTAATAGCTTTATCGATGTAGAATTGATATTCACTAAACTGCACGTATTTAAGGTGTACGGCCTGATGAGTTTTCACATATGTTTATGCCCATAAAACCATCACCAAGATTAGGATGGGGATCGTATTTATCACACCACAAAGCTTCCTTTTCAATTTCTCCCTTCCGCCCTTCTATGCCATTCCCCATTTCCCGGCAACCACTCATCTCCTTTCTGTCACTTTACACTGGTGTGCATTTTCTATTTATTTATTTATTCATTCATTTAATTAATTAATTTAATTTAATTTAAGTATTTATTTCTTAAAGTAAGCTCTAGACCCAATGTGGGGCTTGAACTCACGATCCAAAGATCAAGAGCAGCATGCTCTACCAACTGAGCCAGCCAGGTGCCCCGCATTTTCTCTTTTAAAGATTTTATTTATTTATTTGAGAGAAAGAGAGAGAGAGAGAACGACAGGGAGGAGCAGAGGGAGAGAGAAACTCAAGCAGACTCTGCGCTAACCCTGGAGCCTGATGTGGGGCACGATCTCACCACCAGGAGATCACAACCTGAGCTGAAACCAAGAGTTGGATGCTTAACCAACTGCGCCACCCAGGCACCCTGGAGCATTTTCTGTTTTATATAAATGGATCACATAATTTGTATTCTTTTTTGTCTGGCCTGTCACTCAATGTGCTTACTTTGAGATTCACCCATATCGTTGGGTGTACCAATGATTCATTCTTTTTTATTGTTTTGTAGTATTCCTTCGTACCACAATTTCTTCATCCATTTACCTGTTCCTGGACAAAATTTCTGGCTATTACAAATAAAGCCCTTATGAATATTCACATACAAGTCTTTGTATGGGCATATACTTTCACTTCTCTTGGGTAAATATCGAGGAGAACCCTGCATAATCAAGGTCAGGACAACAGAAGGGAAACCAGTGAGAGAAACAAGTCAGCAAGGCAGGAGCAGAATCAGGAGACAATCATCAGAGTCAACCGCTACTGAGAAGGCACCTAAGTTTGGGGTTCCCCCAAAGAAGAGCCTGAGCACAGTTTTAGGTGCAGGTAGACTTTTGGGGAGGGATTGCAGGAAGCAGGAGTGAGGGAACTGACAGAGTAAGACAGGGAAGGAGGAAAAGCCAACAGAAGTGTGTTTTATTGAGATTGCAGTTGTGGCCAAAGGAAGCTCTATTCCAGTAGAACTGCCAAATTTAGAGACTGCCTCCCAGGATTATCCACATGAAAGATGGGAGGGAGGCTGGAATATTCATTCACCAAGGTCTGTAGACCTGGCTCAAAGATAGCACCTGGGACACTAACTCCTTGGCATTTCCTGGCTATGTTTGCATCAGAATAGGCAAAGAGAGGGGTGGTGTGCAAGCTCCCATTGTGTGGAAAAATGACCTGTGATGGTTAATTTTATGTGTCAACTTGAAGGTAATTTTGGATAAGATTAACTTTTTTTTTTTAAAGATTTTATTTATTTATTTGACAGAGAGAGACACAGTGAGAGAGGGAACACAAGCAGGGGGAGTGGGAGAGGGAGAAGCACGCTTCCCGCAGAGGAGAGAGCCCGATATGGGACTCGATCCCAGGACCCTGGGACCATGACCTGAGCCGAAGGCAGCTGCCCAACAACTGAGCCACCCAGGCGCCCAAGATTAACATTTAAATCAGTGAATTTTGAGTAAAGCAGCCTTCATAGTATGGGTAGGTGTCATCTAATCAGTTGAAAGAATTATCTAGCGGACTGCCTTCAGACTCCATCTGTACCAACAGCACTTCTCGGTCTCCAGTCCGCTGGCCTGTGGGCTGAAACTGGGATCTCAGCTCTCCTGGGTCTTAAGCCTGCAGGCTCACACTGCAGATTCTGGACTTGGCAGCCTCCATAATTGTGTGAACCACTTCTTTGTAATACATCTCTAAATGTATATTTACACACACACACACACACACACACACACACACACACACACCCTATTGGCTCTGTTTCTGTGGAGAACCCTGACTAATACAGCCCTGAAGCAGAATGTAAGTCGAGGTGCAGACTTGAGGTAGGATGCTGGCCGTGCAAGGTGAGCCTGGCCTCCCTCACACAGAACTGTCCACCACACCTGCGCCTGAACCCAGAGATGTGATGAGCACGCACATCTGCTAGAAATGATGAACAAGGTGAAGACAGCCTGTAGGGTTTGGTAGCAAAGAGGACTTTGGTGACCTTTGTGAGGGAAGTTTTATGTTTCATTTTGAGTGCGTTAGTGAGTGTGTAGGATCTGAGGAAATAGAAGCAGAGAGCAGAGAATCCTGTTGAGAAATTTGGTAGTAAAGGAAGGAAAAGAGGAACAGGTATTAGATTAAGCAAGGAGAAGGATCAAGGGATTCTTTTCTTCTTTTTTTTAAGGGGGGTCGACTTGGGACCCTGGAGAAGAGGGAGTGGTAGTAGAGAGGGAAGAGTCGCAGACCTAAGAGAGGGAGTAAGGACCCTGAGTAGTGGCAAAGGGTGGGCTTCAGGGGCGCCGGTAGAAGGATTAGGCTCGCACCAGAGATAAGGATATAATTTTATAAAAAGTAAAAAAAGAAAAAAAAACCCAAATAGGAAATACGTGAAGATAGTACGTTGTGCTGAAGAGATAGGAAGGAAAGTAGTTTCCATCTGCTCAGACAAGTAGGGAGGAGAGATGTAGTGCAGAGTAGTGGGAAAAACACAGATCTGGAGTCAGACTGATAGACCTGGGCCGGGATTTAAGCCTCACCATTTCAGAGTTGTTTGTCTTTGGGAGAGAGACAATTTCCTTATACATTTTATACAATGGGGAAACTAGTATTTGTTTAAGGTCAACAGGTGGATAGAAGTATATGATGCATATTTACTGTACCTGACACATAATGGGCATTCAAAGATAATTATTATTAAGTAAAGCAATTTTCTGAATGGGAAAAATTAAGTGGGACTTGGGCATGGATCAGCTCCTATGGGAAGTGAGAAATAAAGACGATCATTTGGATTTTTTTCTGTTCTAGATTTTACATTTGCTTAATAGATTTTATTTCTCTGCTGAAATTTTCCATCTTATCATTTGTTTTCTCAGATTTATTGATTGTAGTTATTTCAAAATCCATGTCTTGTAATTCTACTATCTGGTTCAGCTGTGGGTCTGTTTCTTTTTTCTTTTTTCTTTTTTAAGATTTTATTTATTTATTTGAGAGAGAGAGAATGAGAGAGAGAGAACACCTGAGAGGGGATAGGGTCAGAGGACGAAGCAGACTCCCTGCCGAGCAGGAAGCCCGATGCGGGACTCGATCCCGGGACTCCAGGATCATGACCTGAGCCGAAGGCAGTCGCTTAACCAACTGAGCCACCCAGGCGCCCCTGTGGGTCTGTTTTTATTGAATATTTCTTTTTTTTTTCTGCTTGGTTTTCGGCCATTTAATGATATCTTCTCGTATGCCTGGTAATTTTTTATTGAATGACAGCTATTTTGTATGAAAAATCATAGAGATAGACCTGTCTCTGGATAATACTAGGTTTCTTCAGAGATAATTCTTTTTATTTCTGGTAGGCAGTTAGAATAGAAGAAAATCACTTTCCTCCAGTATGGGGTCCAGCTGATTTGAAGCTGCATTTCAGTCTTAGTCTGGGCTCTTCCATTTCTAAATTATCCTTTGTGCCAATTATCAATTAAGTCTCAGCTCCAAACCCACCCTCTACTTCCTGCTCTGCGATATTCCAGCTGGATTCTCTATTTCTCTTTTGCCAGTTGGCACAATGTTAAACATTGCCAGTAGAGGGTGCTGGAGGAACACTGGAGGAGGAAGAGGTCTCTTCCTAGTTCTGGTGTTCCTTTGGCCAGGCTCCAGCGGCGTGTACAACTTGTTCAGGGCAGGCTCCTGCAGAGCAGTGCAATTGTCAGGGCCCAGGGACCAACAGCTTTGCCTGGCACCTCCTTGGGTGGCTTCTCGGTGAATTGCAGCTGATGAGGCACCTTCCCGTAAATGACTGGACAGCTTTGCAGTGAGTTCTGAGGAGCGGCATCTCAGCATCTCAGTGATTCTTCTGCCAGCTCGTGAGTCACAGTTCTCTTAAGTGAGGTCTGGATCTCAGCCCTGGGAGTTTGGGGCAGGGTGGTGGTCTTCCTTGACATTTTATTCCAGCCCTAGAGATAGTGGCTCTTTCTTGTATCTGTTATTCCTGTCTTCTTTAGAGTTCTCTTTTCTTCTTACTAGCCAATCGCTCAGTACTCTAATACCCTATTATAGTTGAAATTTTATATTGAACTTTCCTGGTTCAAATTCTTGTGTGATTTGTGTCTCTTGATAGAACCCTTACTGATACAGCTTTAGTCTGAGGGTATAAGTTCTCCAGGGGCCCTAACTGAAATCCAGGGGTTTTAATCAGGGTCCTCCTTCTTGACAGGTCTTGAACTCCGATTTTTGTTTTCTCAGTACAGTAACACTGCTGAAATTTTTTTCTCAGACTCTTACCTAATAATTGGGGACCATTATTCTGTCTACCACATCTTGTTTCTCATGAACCATCTATTCCAGTATTGGATAAACAATACCATGTATTAGTCACCAGGTCAAAGTACAAAGAGCACTTAACATTAATATGATATCTCCATGACAGTGAATTAAATGATTGTTCAATAAGCCTTTTCACTAATAGGTAGGATTGTATGCAGAGAATATGTGGGACATATGGACTTGGATATGGAGTAAAAACTGAGCAAAAGGAAATGAGACTCCTTCCATATTCTAGCAAAGCAAGCTAGATGAGATTCTAAGGGACCAGGTAACAGTTCCTATAGAACAAGTTAAAGGTGATGAGGGATGTGGAATTTTAAGGCTTGGTTTTGCTTCCAATGGTATTGGATCACTAAAGGTGGAAGAATAAAAAATCTTAGAACACACAATATCAATCTGAAAGTGCAGAAGAAAATATAGCACAGTTGCATGCATCTTTCTCTGTAGATGTCAGATATAAACTGATCTTGCATACTGTTGAACTGTAGATAAATCTGCAACCTTATCAGGATTCTGCAGTGATTGGGGTGTCTGGATGGTTCAGTCGATTGAAGGTCCAACTCTTGATCTCTGCTCAGAGCTTGATCTCTGCACAGATCTTGATCTCAGGGTGGTAAGTTGGAGCACCGTGTTGGGCTCCGTGCTGGGTGTGGAGCCTACTTTAAAAAAAGGGGGTGGGGGATTCTGCAGTGAAGGTGAGAATAATGATCTGGAAAAAGATCAAGGTCTTGACAATCCAAATACGGACATAAGAGGGGCTCCTGGCTGGCTGAGTTGGTGGAACATGCGACTCTTAATTTCGGGGTTGTGAGTTCGAGCCCCATGTTGGGTGTAGAGATTACTTAAAAATAAAATCTAACCCCCCCCACAAATATGGACATAAAAAAAGAACTAGGAGTCTTGGGAAAACCCAGTCCCATAGTCTTCTTTGAAATGTTTTTTCTTGTGTCCCTCTTGCAGAAGGGAGAGTGCTTTACTGTTTTGCACCCCATACCTCACTTCCTTTCCTGTGACCAGGATGAATCAGAGGGTGAGAAACAATAACATGTCAAAGTAAATAAGAATGATATTCAGAAGGAGCTGCAGGAAATTTCTAAGGCAAAATCTGGGGAATTCTATGTGATCATGAAATTTAATGTGTGTGATCATGAATTTATTAAAAATGGCAGAACATAATTTTATTTTTTTTAAACATTTTATTTTTTTATTTGAGAGAGAGAGAAAGAGAGACTGAGAGAAAGCATGAGCAGGTGGAGAGGCAGATGGAGAGGGAGAAGCAGACTTCCCCACCAAGCAGGGAGCCCGATGCGGTGCTCGATCCCAGAACCCGAAGGCAGACGCCCAACTGACTGAGCCACCCCGGGCTCCATAATTTTATTAAAAAAATTTTTTTTTATGGTAACAAGATTTTTGCATTTATTTATTTATACTTCCAAGATTTTATTTATTTATTTATTTATTTATTTATTTATTTATTTATTTATTTATTTATTTTTAGGAGTAAAATGATAGAAGTTTATTAAGTGAAGATACAGAAAAAGCTCTCAAGAGTGAGAGGGGTCCCGACAGGGTTGTCCCAAGATTTTATTTAAATTCAAGTTAGTTAACATATAGTGTAGTATTGGTTTCAGGAGAATTTAGTGATTCATGACTTACATATAACACACAGTGCTCATCAAAACAAGTGCCCTCCTTACTGCCTATCACCCTTTTAGTCCATCCCCCTGCCACCTCCCCTCCAGCAACCCTCAGTTTGTTCTCTATAGTTAAGAGTCCTGACAGAACGTAATTTTAGATTGAACCAAATTGATTGCAAATTGGTCTATAATGTATATTGTGAATGTATAATGTATATTGTGAATGCTTAGCCCACAAAAGCTCAGCATCGGCCATTTTAAATGTCTCTATGGTTTTGCCTTTTGCATGATAATTCAGGAGAAGCATAGGTCTTGCTGAGACTTGAGAGAATAGTGTCCCTGGTTACAGAGAGAGGACTCTTGCTTTAGACAACATCATGGACTGCATCCCTAAAATAGGAAAACCATAAATCTCATTAAGCTGTTTCTTCTTAGCTATAAAATGAACTTGATTTGTTCTGTGTAATACATAATGAGGATAATTATGTAGTAAGTCAAGAAAATATCCTGTATTAGAGGAAAGAGACTATGTATGTAATTGGAATTTATGGATAATCCCCAACTCCCATTTCTCTAGTTTGCAGAGGCTGCTAATTGGCTCCAGGAGTCTTTCTCCCCATTTTCCTTAGTAATAGAACATGACATTTTTAGCTAGACATGTGTCCACTTGAAATAAACACATTTCCCAGCCTCGCTTCCAGCTATATATGTGGTCATATGACTCTAAATTCTGGCCAACTGGAAGTAAATATAAATGGTGCGGGGACAGAGAGGTGTGTATTCTTCTGCTCTTCTTTTTTCTTCTTGGTTTAGATATGGTCATGATGGCTGGACTTTGAGCTGGATCCTTTATGGGTCTTCCATGAAGTGGAATGCTAGGGATGGTGGAATAGCAAGAGAGAAGGAGCTTGGAAGCCAGATAGTTGTGGAGCTGCCATACTAACGGCAACATGGCAAGTACTGATAGCGAGAGAGAGCGCGAGCGCGAGTGAGCCATCAAGTTCCAGACAAGACCTGTATTCTTTTTATGACCTAGTCTTGAAAGTTATTGTATGCCATTGGTCGAGGCAGTTAACAGCCCCCGGTCAGAATCAAGGGGGAGAACATAGACCTCTCATCTCTGGGTAGAAGGACTAGGAGTTACACTGTAAGAAGGGTATGTTGAATGGGATTAAACACATATATCTCCGGAAAATTAAGTCTGTCACAGTCTGCCTGTTAGTCATAGCAATTCACATCCCTCCCATAGTCATCCCTTCCCCTTAAAATCTTCAAGTCTAGGATGCCTGGGTGGCTTAGTCGGTTAAGCGTCTGCCTTCAGCTCAGGTCATGATCTCAGGGTTCTGGGATCGAGTCCTGCATCAGGCTCCCAGCTCAGCGGGGAGCCTGCTTCTCCCTCTCCTTGCCACTCCCCCTGCTTGTGCTCTCTCTCTCTCTGACAAAAAAATAAATAAAATCTTTGGGCGCCTGGGTGACTCAGTCGGTTAAGCGTCTGCCTTCAGCTCAGGTCATGATCTCAGGGTCCTGGGATCGAGCCCCGTGTCGGGCTCCCTGCTCGGCAGGAAGCTTGCTTCTCCCTCTCCCACTCCCCCTGCTTGTGTTCCCTCTCTCGCTGTGTCTCTCTCTGTCAAATAAATAGATAAATCTTAAAAAAAAAAAAATCTTCAAGTCTAATCCATCATGGCACCAAGCTCAGGTGCAAGAGCCCAGATCTCATCACCTAGCTACTGGACCTCAAGCTTGAGCAAACAATGTGTAACAAATCAACCCAAAACTTACTAGCTCCTTTCAGGTATATATTATCTAATTGGGAGATAAGATGTAAACATGTGAAAAGTTATATACTAATAAAAGGGTTTAATAATAAGCAATGCAACAGTTTTTTTCTAACTATATATCGGTTGCTTTGTGTAAAGAAAAATTTCAAAATTAAAATTGATAGTCATAAAAAAGAATGACGTACTGATTCCTATGGCATGGATGAACCTTGAGAACATTATGCTAAGTGAAAGAAGACAGGCACAAAAGTTGACATATTATATTTATATGAAATGTCCAGAATAGACAAATCTATGGAGACAGAAAGTTGGTTAGTGGATTCCAGTAGTTAGGGGAATGGGAGAATGGAGAATGTCTACTAATCACCCTTTCTGGGGTGATGAAAATGTCCCGGAATTAGATATATATGGTGAGGTTGCACAATTTTGTGAATATACTAAAATCTACTGAGTTGTATGCTTTCAAAGAATGAGTTTTACGATATATGAGTTATATCTCAAAAACAGTTAAAATTATTTAAAAAAATTTTTTTAAAGATTTTTTTTTAAGATTTTATTTATTTATTTATTTGAGAGAGAGAGAGAGAGAGAGAAACAGCACGAGAGGGGATAGGGTCAGAGGGAGAAGCAGGCTCCCCGCCGAGCTGGGAGCCCGATGCAGGACTCGATCCCGGGACTCCAGCATCATGACCTGAGCCGAAGGCAGTCGCTTAACCAACTGAGCCACCCAGGCGCCCCAAAGATTTTATTTTTATTTGAGCTAGAACAAGTGCACAAGTAGGGGGGAGGGATAGAGGGAAAGGGAGAAGCTGGCTCGATCCCAGGACCCTGAGATCATGACCTGAGCTGAAGGCAGATGCTTAACCGACTGAGCCACCCAGGCGTCCCAACATTTAACATTATTAAAAAGTTTTCTTTGATCAACCATTGAGTGAGATAGATGAGCAAATCTGGCTCTATTGTCTATATGGGAAGATCAATTTTTACAAAGTCATTGACAAATTTGCAAAAATTAAGACCTGGAACAGAAATTATAATGTTATGGGGCGCCTGGGTGGCTCAGTCGTTAAGCGTCTGCCTTCGGCTCAGGTCATGATCCCAGGGTCCTGGGATCGAGCCCCGCATCGGGCTCCCTGCTCGGCGGGAAGCCTGCTTCTCCCTCTCCCACTGCCCCTGCTTGTGTTCCCTCTCTCGCCGTGTCTCTCTCTGTCAAATAAATAAATAAAATCTTTAAAAAAAAAAAAGAAATTATAATGTTATAATTTATTCTTAGACCGAGATGTAAATGTTTTTCCTTTTTATTTAAAATAAAAAGTATATGTATATAATTACAATTATTAACCCATTGCTTTTTTCCTTTCTTGTACTATAACACACACACACACACACACCCCTGTATATGTGTGTGTTATATATATGCATTACTGGCATATAGTACTGGCATTACTATGAGCATATTAGGTCAATAAAAGAAAATTTGTACTCTCTATATTTCTTTTCTGGCCATGATTGTGTTTCATATCATGATTAATACTGAAAATAATTTTTTGTTACAGAAGAGATGGACTTTAAAAATTATATATATACTTCAGTTGTCAAATGTGTAGGGTTGATGTTAGATGCTGTTATTGAGAGTCTAAGTCAGAAAAAAATCAAGGTCTTGGGGCGCCTGGGTGGCTCAGTCGTTAAGCGTCTGCCTTCGGCTCAGGTCATGATTCCAGGGTCCTGGGATCGAGCCCCGCATCGGGCTTCCTGCTCCGCGGGAAGCCTGCTTCTCCCTCTCCCACTCCCCCTGCTTGTGTTCCCTCTCTCGCTGTATCTCCCTCTGTCAAATGAATAAATAAAATCTTTAAAAAAAAAAAAGAAAAAAATCAAGGTCTAAATTGGGATGGCAATGAAGGGAATAGAAAGGAAGTAGAGAGATATCGCATGAATAAAACTGATACTTTTCTACAGTTACGGGGGGCAAAGAAGAGGGAGATGTCATGGGAGAAATATATTTCCAGCTTGATAATAACTGGCAATTCTTGGGGGCTTGGTTTATAACTATAGGTACCCAATGCCTAGAACTGCCTCTGAACATACATATTTTTTGTCTGAATGAATGAATGATCTTGTACAGGACACATCCTAGCTGCCTCATATACTCTCCATCCATCTTCTTACTCTAGCTGTTACCGTGGCAACCAGCTGCTTGCAGGCGTCACCTGACAGTATCTGCTCCCAACTACAGCTCCTTTCTTTCTTTCTTTTTTTTTTTTTTTAAAGATTTTATTTATTTGACAGAGAGAGAGACAGCGAGAGCAGGAACACAAGCAGGGGGAGTGGGAGAGGGAGAAGCAGGCTTCCTGCCGAGCAGCGAGCCTGATGTGGGACTCGATCCCAGGACCCTGGGATCATGACCTGAGCTGAAGGCAGACGCTTAACGACTGAGCCCCCCAGGCGCCCTACAGCTCCTTTCTTTGCCTTTGCCCAGGGACTCCTTTGCTGCAGCCTTGTGGGGCATCTGCCATTGTTGACACGTGTGGAAACGTGGAAGAGTGAGGGGATTAACACTCAAGGGGCAACTTTTGACCACTGGGGGTAAGAGTGAGTGGATAAATATTCCTCTTTATGTCTCTTTTTATGCATATTTTTTTTATTTTTAAAAAATTATTTGAGAGAGAGAGTGAGCGAGAGAGAAGGAGCAGGGGGAGGGGCAGAAGGAGAGGGAGAAGCAGACTCCCCAAGGAGCAGGGAGCCTGACGACGATGACTACGTGGGGCTCAATCCCGGGATCATGACCTGAGTCGAAGGCAGACACTTAACCGACTGAGCCACTCCTCTCTCTGTCTCTTGAATCACATTCTATATGGCTCACAGAAGGTTCCAGTGGGACAATGTTCCAGCTGCTCAGACAGCGACCAGCTCAGTACCACATCCTTGGGCCTGCCTTCCTTGTTTCCCTCTTCCCATTCCCCACCGGCTTGTCTCTCGGGATTGCTTTCCACAGTAAGCTGCCCACATGTCATTCTTGTCTCAGGCTCAGCTTTTTGGGGAAGCCCAGGCAAAGACTGATTCCTATGTAAGATGTGGCATGGATGAAGGAGTTAGCACTGGTAAAGGACCCACAGACCTAGCTGTGTCACTAACCTCCCTTGAAGAGATGGGCATGTTTATCACCATTTTCAGATGCACATGTACTGACAGGAAAAGATCTTCAAGCCATTTGTTAACAGAGAGAAAAAAAAAAAAAGCAAGTCAAGAAAAATGCTTGTAACAATGGTCTCATGTTCTGAAAAGAGCAAGTGTGTGTACATGTATGCTAATAAATGTATACAAAATAGTGGACTATCACGATTTACTATATAGTTTTGTATGGCTTGAGTCGTTTACAAGGAGAATGTATCTGTGTAATTAAAAACAAAACAAAACAAAACAAAACAAAACAAAACCCCAAAACAATATCGTCCCTCCAAGGTCACTGAATCAAGCCTGGGAAAGTGCAGAGCAGAGGGCAAACGCTCCACCAACACAAGGTGAGACAGCCGAGCCGTGCTCAGGTTTGCCCGCTAGGGGACAGCGGAGCGAGAACAAAGGCAGGCGGACGAGAAACCTGGGACCCGAAGGGAGGGCGGCTGGGTCTTTGTGGTCGCCAGGGAGCGGAAGTGTAGGGCAATCTAAACCTACAAATACCCGCTCTTCCACAGGCAGGACATTGCAGAAGTCATAAATTCCATCCCTCTGCCGCAGCCCAGACGGATCGGAGGGTTTTCAGACTCCGGGGGCCACCCCCCTCCACTTCCCCGGAGAGAAGCTTGGCACTCTGAGCGGTCTTCAGGCTCGTTCGTACCACTTTTGCGCTCAACAACTCTCAACTCTTCTCCTCTGTTCCCCACCCTGCCCCCGAAACCCGCAGAGGGGAAATTGAGTCACTGGGAGGCGAGGCCCGAGTCGCCAGGGGAATGTGCGCCGACGCCAGCCCTCAGGGCCTTCCAGATGCTTGGAGGAGGGGAGGGTTCTCCAGGAAAATATACAAAGGAGGGGTGAGAGGGGGAGGTGGCTGGCTGGGCAGTTGCTGAGCCAGACACATGGAGAAACGCTGCCCAGGATCAAAGGAAATATGACATTTGAAAAGAATGTGCGCGTCTGCTTGTACAGCGGAGGGGGGCGTGGGGGCGGCTTGTGGGGAATCAGGGGCCGGACTGGGGTCTCTACCCGTGCCCTTCTAGCCTCCGCTTTCCTCCTCCCTCTGCACCCCCCCCTTAGGTGGAGGCTGGTCGCGGGTCTCAGGGTGTTCCTCGCTCTCCCTCCCCGTGGGTCTCTCCTTCCTTTATTTCCGAGATGAAGCTGGAAGGGAAATGTAACCCGAGGAGACCATCCAAAGGGGGGGGGGGGTTAAAAAAAAAAATCAAACCAGGCCGCCTCCCCGCGCGGCCCCGGGACATTCTTCTCTCCCTGCCGGCCTGGCCTCTTATCCCCGCCCCTCCAGCGTCGCGGTCCTGGGCTCCGAGCCGGAGCAGCTCCGCACGTCACTGGGGTCCCCGGGGGCTGGGGGGGTCCCCAGGGCGGGCCAGCGGGAGGACGGGAGGGAAGGGAGGGGAGCCGCCTCGGCCGCGGCGGAGCTCCGGCCCGCCGGGCCAGCCCTCCCCTCTTCCCCTCTGCCCCGCGGAGCCTGTTTCTCATTAGAGTAAAGGGCGCGGTCCCCGCCCGGCTCCCGAGTGTTTGTAAACGTCTGACCCGAGGGCCGTAGCTTAACCCTTTAGGTGCGGGGTTGGGGCGCCGCAGGGGGCGCAGCCCTGAGCTGGAGGGATTTAGATTAAAGGTCGCTGCGGCCTGTTGGAGAGGTCTGAAGTACACCTTCGGTGCTCGTGGTGGGGCGGGGAATGGTACCTCCCACACCCCGGTCCGCCTCCCGAGTCAAGAATCTCCTATCTAATTCCCTCTCACGCCAACAGGGACCCACCATGCCTGCCCTTCCTGGAAACGCCAGTCCGAGTCTTCCTTCCTCCCCCCGCCCAGGTGACAGGTGTCCAACCCTGGGGCCCACAAGGTCGCCGGGCTCCGGGCTCCTAGAAAACCTGGCTAGGATTTTTCAAGCTAGTCGGAGCGGGATGCTATCGGATCAGAGATTCATTCCAGACTACGGTTCTAGGGAGGAGGGAGCCGACTTCCCGTGGGGGCTAATTAATGGCCCCTCTGGGTGGCTGGGAATAGGGCAGTGGTAAAGCCCGGCCTGGATCACCGCCCAATCAGGGGCTATGGACCTTTGAACAGTTCCCCAAGACGCCTAAATGTTCTTCACCTTTGAGGGTTGGGGAGAGACGGTGGCTGAGAGGGCTGACTCGGTTGGGCTTCCAGAAAGTCCAGGCAAGGCGGCTTCAGGGGAGCGATGACCTTTTCCTTTTCAGAGCAGCCTGTAGCCACTCTGAACCCCAGAGGCCGCTGGGCCTCAAGGCTTGGAGGGAAAGGGGAGGAGAGGTGTCCTTCCTTGAGAGTTGTTGGCCGCACAACTCTTCAGAACTTAAGATCTCCCTGGGCTCTCCACACTATAGGCCCAGGATGTATCCGCTTTAAGGCGCTCGGACCCGGAGCCCCCGAACTTAGACTAAATTGGGGGTGTGTGTGGTGGTAGTGCTCCCTGCGGGATATGATTGTCACGAGTGCGGGCCAATAAGCTTCAGTAAGGTCGCACCACGCTTGAGGGACCGTTTTTCCAATTCAGTTTTGTTCCTTTTTTTTTTTTTTTTTGAGGGGGAGGGACTGGAGAGAGGACAGGGGGAGGGAGGGTGGGGGAGAACGAGGGGCGCGTGGTTTTCCCATCTCATCCCCGGAGGAGGGGCTGGAGCATCCCGGGCAGCCAATCAGGGACAGGCTGGGGGGGGCGCTTTGAAGAAGTTTGGGGAAAAAAGTTTGGAAAAGTTTCTATAATAACGAGGGGGCGTCCGGAGGGAGGAGGCAGCGGCGGAGGAGGGGGCGTCTCAGAGGAGGGGAGGGAGGGAGCCACGGGTGAAGATACGGCAGCCTCCTGAGCTCCCCCCCTCCCACCCAGACCGGGACCTGGGGGCTCTGGCCGGCTCCATGGGGGCCGCAAGCTGCGAGGATGAGGAGCTGGAATTTAAGCTGGTGTTCGGGGAGGAAAAGGAGACCCCCCCGCTGGGCGCGGGGGGGTCGGGGGAAGGTTAGTGCGGGGCTGGGAAGGGGTCTTGGAGTCAGTGAAGGAAAGGGCCCGGGGATCCCGAGTCTGGGGATTTTAGGGCAGCGAGCCTGGGGTGGAGGATGAGGGGCTCAGAGGTGGAGGGGAGTCGCAGGGCACCGGGGTCTGCGGAGGTGAGGCTGGGGGCCGGGCACCACTTTCTCCTTTTTAGGTTGTGACTGGGGTGGGGGTGGGGGTGCCGTTGGCTGCGCGCCGCCTCTCGGCTGGGCCGTCTGTCACTGGGATGGGGGGCGGGCGGGAAGAGCGGCCCCGAGAGCCCCCGGCGCCGCCAGGGGAGGGGGGGTCTCTGGACCGTGCGGCTGGCGGACCGGACCCTGGGCCCGCGGACCCGACGCCGGGGGCTGGGGGAGCTCTCGGGCCCCGCCAGGGCGCCCCTCCCCCTCCTCCGCCGGCCGCAATGAGAGGCAGATGGCGGGGACTGAGCCGGGGGCGGCGGCGGCCGCTCTCACGGAATCCGCGCTGCCCGCGCCCCCCTCCCCGGGGCCGGGCTCGGGCCCGGCACGCAGCATCCCCTCCGCTGCACCCCCGTCCCCAGATGGGGGGAGCGAGGGAGGAGCCACCTCCCCTTGTCCCCACAGCCCCGGCGCCCCCCCCTTGGCCACCGTTGCGATGGCAACTGGGGCTCCTGCCAGCACCGTTTGGGGGTTTGGGAACCGCTGCTAATTGGGTTCATGTGTGAGTCGCCCCCAGCCCAGCCCAGCGCCTCCCTAAACACGCCTCCAGGCCCAGCTCCAGCCCCTCTCCAGTCGCCTCCCTCACCTTAAGACCCGCCCCGTCTGGTACCCCAGGACCCAGGGCCAGGGGCTCAGGAGTGTCAGGTTCTCCGAGTGGGAAAAGGCCTGGGACGTCTGGATCTGTGTACTCCACCTTCTGAGGTCCAACTTTGCTTTTGTCTTTGGGGCTCTGAAGGGCACCTCAGGGACCCCCCCTACCTTATGCTGAGGAGGGGGTGGCATACAGCACTCGGAGGGCTGGCCACTCAAGGGACCCAGACATCTTACCTGCTTCTCTTTGTCCCCATCTCCTGTGGCATCCCTCTCTCTGTCCCCCTCCCTTCCCATTTTGACAGAACTGGACTCAGAGGACGCCCCGCCATGCTGCCGTCTGGCCCTGGGGGAGCCCCCTCCCTATGGCGCTGCCCCTATTGGCATTCCCCGGCCTCCACCCCCTCGGCCTGGCATGCATTCGCCACCACCCCGCCCGGCCCCCTCACCTGGCACTTGGGAGAGCCAGCCCGCCCGGTCAGTGAGGCTGGGGGGCCCGGGAGGGGGTTCCGGGGGGGCTGGGGGAGGCCGTGTTCTTGAATGCCCCAGCATCCGCATCACCTCCATCTCTCCCCCGCCTGACCCGCCGGCTGCGCTGGAGGACAACCCCGATACCTGGGGGGACGGCTCCCCCAGGGATTACCCGCCGCCAGAAGGCTTTGGGGGCTACCGAGAGACAGGCGGCCAGGGCGGGGGCCCCTTCTTCAGCCCCAGCCCCGGCAGCAGCAGCCTGTCCTCGTGGAGCTTCTTCTCGGATGCTTCAGACGAGGCAGCCCTGTACGCAGCCTGTGACGAGGTGGAGTCCGAGCTGAATGAGGCAGCCTCGCGCTTTGGCCTGGGATCCCCCTTGCCCTCGCCCCGGGCCTCCCCTAGGCCGTGGACCCCCGACGATCCCTGGAACCTGTATGGTCCGAGCCCCGGAGGAGGCCGGGGGCCGGAGGATAGCTGGCTACTCCTCAGCGCTCCTGGGCCCACCCCAGCCTCCCCACGGCCCGCCTCTCCATGTGGCAAGCGGCGTTATTCCAGCTCGGGAACCCCGTCTTCGGCCTCCCCAGCTCTGTCCCGCCGTGGCAGCCTAGGGGAGGAGGGGCCCGAGCCACCGCCACCACCCCCATTGCCTCTGGCCCGGGACCCTGGCTCCCCCGGCCCTTTCGACTACGTGGGAGCCCCACCGGCAGAGAGCATCCCGCAGAAGACCCGGCGGACTTCCAGCGAGCAGGCCGTGGCCCTGCCTCGGTCTGAGGAGCCTGCCCCGTGCAATGGGAAGCTGCAGGCAGGAGCTGAGGAGACTGCGGCGCCCCCCGGGGGGCCTCGGAAGGAGGTGGCCGGCATGGACTACCTGGCAGTGCCTTCCCCACTGGCTTGGTCCAAGGCCCGGATTGGGGGACACAGCCCCATCTTCAGGTGAGGAGTGTGCCTAGCCGCACCTGTGTCTCCAGCCATCCCACTGAGGGAGCAGGAAGGTCAAGGGATGGGTTTGAAGAAAGGTCCTGGTTCTCTGCCCTTGGCATTTCAAGAGAGAATCTGCGACCAGCTTGATGGCTGCCATCTACCCAGTTTTGGGGAGAATTATCAAACCAAACCAAACCCAAACCCCACCCCCTCCAGACATAATTTGCAAAAGGACAGTCACTCCCTGTGGACGAATAAGGAAAAACCTCCCTACCCCCCAGGAGAACCACTTAGGTGAAGAAGGAGTGCCTCTAGGGTGTTCCCCACCCCCAGCTCTGTGCTGGCGCTGGCTGGGCATGAGCCTGGCTGGATTTCAGCCCTGCACTGGGTAGCAGGAAGTCTCTCTTCCCTCACTTAATTTCTAGGGCCCTGACTCATTGATTAAAAGTGTAGCTGCTAATTTGAATAAAATAGCTTGCAAGTCCAAGAATTCATATTAAAACAAGCAGGGCTTATAGTTCTTCCACCACTTTCACTCTCAAGGAACCCTGCCCATTTCAATAATCCTAAATCTGGGGATGACAGATTGAGCTGGCTCCACTGGGGAAAGAAACCTTAATGCCTGTTCCCCTGGGTTCCTGTAGGGCAGGGTTGTATGGGGCTGTGGTGGGCACCATAGGATGACTTAGCAGCATCCCTGGCCTCTATCCACTAGATGCTAGTGGCATCCTCTCCCCTAGTTGGGACTCCCCAAATTGTCTCCAGACATTGCCAGCCACCACCTGGAGGATGTCTTCGAGCTCAATACAGGAAAATTGCCCATCTGTAACCCCCAGCTTTCTGGACCTGACCTGTCCGGCCCCAACTAGAGGAAAAGGTGCTGGAAACAGTCCTGGCTTCTGTCAGGCACTGGCTTGCTTGGCCTGCTATATTCTACTCCCCTGGGGCCTCAGTTTCCTTATTTGAAAAACAAAGGGGTGAACCTCTGAGGACTTTTCTGGTCTGAAGTGGTATTCCTTTACTTGACTCTTCCCATCCAGGTCTGGGGATTAGGATTAGGTCTAGGTTCACCTCTGTATCCAGGTGAATGAACCCTTGCCACCCCAAACCCTGTGCTCAGAGCTGGAAAGAAGGGAGTCTCAGGCCTGGGGCCATTTTCCACACCCCCATCTCAAGGGGTTCTGAGAGGGGTGTCTCCTATTTCCCCTTGCTTCTGGGCTTTTGGACTGTTTTATTTCTGCTGTGATTTCCTTTCTCCCATACCCACACCCCCTCCTCCCTCACATCCCAGGGAGCTGGGCCTAGTGCTTCTCTGACTGGCTTCTGAGGCTGCAGATGATCAGTGCTCTTCTCTCCTCTCCAGGACCTCTGCCCTACCCCCGCTGGACTGGCCTCTGCCCAGCCAGTATGAGCAGCTGGAGCTGAGGATCGAGGTGCAGCCTAGAGCCCACCACCGGGCCCACTATGAGACTGAGGGCAGCCGAGGGGCTGTCAAAGCCGCCCCTGGTGGTCACCCTGTAGTCAAGGTAAGGGGCAGAGGGCAGGCCTGATAGCCTTTCTCTTCTCCAGTCCCAGATCCCTGCAGATGGGCTCCAGCTGTGCCGACCCATGGCACTGCCCTTTCCCACACTCCCTCTCAGCATTGACCCTGCAGGCAGCCTGGGGGAGGGGCTGGAGTTAGGGGAGGAAGGGTGCACTTCAAGGACCCGGATATACTTTCTATTTCTCTGTCCCTCCACCCTGCCCCCCTCCATTCTTCCCATGGGACACCAGCCTCATGTCTACTCTGGAAAATGGTGGTGTGCCAGATGTGGGGGAGGGGTTAGGCTGAGGCCAAAGTTCACTGGGAGTTAGGTTGTCTGTTGAGTTGGGCCAGTCTCTCTTGGAAGATTTTCCCCTTTGCCCAGCCCAGTTTGGGCCTTATTCCAAGAATAGCACTGTGAACTCCAGGCCACGTTTTCTCCACAGCTGGTGCCCAATTCCCCCTGGGAATCCCTTCCAGGATATCCTTTATCTTTCACCATCCTCATCCCCTGGTGGACTGAAAACCCAGGGATGGATGAAGGATGAGACAGTGGGGATTTCAACTGGGTGGCCTCTCTCTCCCTCTGCCAGCTCCTAGGCTACAGTGAGAAGCCCCTGACTCTACAGATGTTCATTGGCACTGCAGATGAAAGGAACCTGCGGCCTCATGCCTTCTATCAGGTGCACCGTATCACGGGCAAGATGGTGGCCACGGCTAGCTATGAGGCTGTCGTCAGTGGTACCAAAGTGTTGGAGATGACCCTGCTTCCTGAGAACAACATGGCAGCCAAGTAGGTCCCCATTTCACTTCCCCTCAGGCTTCAGGCTTTAGGACCAACTTTTCCATGAGGTCTAAGCTAGGCCCATTCTTCCTCTTCCCAGAAGAGCTAGACATCACCCCTAGGAGCAGGTTTCAGGCTTCTCACGATCTAGAAGAGGACTTTGGGGGTTAGGGAGCACCTTGGAGAGACCACCTTTGATTAGAAAATCACCCCCCACCCTCAAGGCTCCCAGACGAAGTCATTCAAGGCTTTGGATGAAGGGTGGGGGCTTCCCTCTTATGGGAGCATCACTATTCTGGCTTCAGCTGGGAGGGCTTGCCTTCCATTCTCTGCCTTCAGCATTGACTGTGCTGGAATCCTGAAGCTCCGGAACTCAGACATCGAGCTGCGGAAGGGGGAGACAGACATTGGGCGCAAGAACACACGAGTGCGGCTCGTGTTCCGGGTGCACGTGCCCCAGGGCAGTGGGAAGGTCGCCTCGGTGCAGACAGCATCAGTGCCCATTGAGTGCTGTGAGCAAAGAGGCGCTGCGCCGGCTCTGTGTCTCCTGCCGCTCCCTCTCTGTGTGTCTGTGTGACTTCCCATCTCCTCTGCGTCGTGTCCTGTGTCCTGTCTGTCCTAGGTAGCCCTGAAAGGGACTCAGCACTTATTTCTCTTATGGAGGGGGTGGGGGCAATGTTCTAATTTATCCCTGCTGCAGACTCTGTCTCTGGGCTGGACTAGAGTGGCCCTGGCCTCCATCTGTCCCTGGGTGGCTCTGTGTCCCTGTCTGGGTAACTCTGGCCTTTGGTGACCTTGTTCATCTCTCTCTCTCTGCCCAGGCTCCTTACCTGGTCTGTGTGACCCCAGGGATACTGTTGATTTACTTGTGTGTCTACTGCTGAGGAGGACTCCTCCAGGGTCCTGCGGCAGTTATTCCAAGGAGGGTGGGGGCAGAGGGTCCTGTCCTCTTGTACTCAGCCCAGCCAGCTTCTTTCCTGCCCTGCTCTGCAGCCCAGCGCTCAGCCCAGGAGCTGCCCCAGGTAGAGGCGTACAGCCCCAGTGCCTGTTCCGTGAGAGGAGGAGAGGAACTAGTACTCACTGGCTCCAACTTCCTGCCAGACTCCAAGGTGGTGTTCATCGAGAGGGGCCCTGGTGAGCACCCACGGGGGCGGGGGGCAGGCAGGAAGAGTTTGGACCGCGCAGCTGAAAGATCTCTGGCGCTGTCCCTAAGCTAGCAAGTGGAGCCTCTGTTTCCTCATCTGTAAAAGGGAACAGAGAGACTGCCCTTCCCATTGTCCTGTCTGCTTCCCATGGGGAGGTGGTTGTGACAGCAATCTCAAAGGCTCTAGAGACGGGGGGAGGTCCCTGGCTGGCTCAGTCAGTGGAGCATGCGACTCCTGGTCTCGGGGTGGTGAGTTCCTGAAACCCTCCTGAGTTATGGGCCTGGTAGCAGTTATGGGCCTGTGATTACAAAGCCTGTGAGGGGCCTCAGGGCAGCTGCAGGGCTGGAGAAGGGGAGACTGAGGGGTCTGGGTAAAACCACCACCTCCCCTAACCCTGCCCATCAAGAGCCCCAGCCCCTACACTCAAATTTAGCACCCTGAGACCATGTCAAAGCAGGTTCAGAGGTTCTAGATCTTGAGATTGGGATCTCGTGGTCTTCCTTCAAGCTAGGACCATTTCCTACCCTTGAACTTCGTCCCAGCACTGTCATGGGAGGGAATGTTTGGAGCTGGTTGGGGGAGGGGGTTCAAGAGTTGCCTCCATTATGAATTCTCTCTGGTTCCTGGGCTGGCCCTGCCATTTCTCTTGGTTTCAGTTTGCTGCCTCTTCTATCCAATTGAATAAACACTCAGTGGGCTCCTCGTGAGCCAGGCCCCGTAGGGGACTTCTGAGTCTGGCCTTGGCTCTAGCAGGAGGGGAAATGGCAGGGAGCACGGGGCAGGGGCCCTGGAGCTGGGCTGGAGCTCTCTGTTCCTCCTGCACAGATGGGAAGCTGCAATGGGAGGAGGAGGCCACAGTGAACCGGTTGCAGAGCAACGAGGTACCAGGGTCACTAGGGCACCCACCCCTGGGGGGTGGCAGGAGAAGGCAGGAAATTCACAGCTCTCTCTCTTGCCCATGGGAATGGAGTCCAGAAGCTACCTTTTCTTTTCTGGAGGAGGCGGCCTGGCTACCGTAGAAGCAGGTTCATCTCGAGGGAATGAACTTTGCTGTTAAGCAAATGAAAAAAGCCAGGAGGCGGAGCTTGGGTCCTTGGGAGGGCTGGGCTGAGCCTGGGTCCCTGAAGGCTCCCTGCCTCATCCTGTGCCCTTCCCCAGGTGACGCTGACCCTGACTGTCCCCGAGTACAGCAACAAGCGGGTGTCCCGGCCAGTCCAGGTCTACTTTTATGTCTCCAATGGGCGGAGGAAGCGCAGTCCTACCCAGAGTTTCAAGTTCCTGCCTGGTACGCTCTAGGACAGCCCACAGTGGCGGGGTGGGGATATGGAGAGCTGAGGCAGGGGCAGAGGGATGCAGGGCCCTCATGGTGAGGGGCCAAGCTATGGCTGAAGCCTGGGGATGGAGAGGAGGTTGGAAGCTGTGCAGTAGGGAGACAGCAAGCCCTCTCACCAGTGTGTCCTCCTGCTTTCCCTCCTACCTAGTGATCTTCAAGGAGGAGCCTTTACCCGACTTGTCTCTCCGCGGCTTCCCTTCAGCACCTGGCCCTCCCTTTGGCACTGACATGGACTTCTCACCATCCAGGCCCCCTTACCCCTCCTATCCCCATGAAGACCCTGCTTATGAAACTCCTTACCTGTCAGAAGGCTTCAGCTATGGCACACCCCCTCTGTACCCCCAGACGGGGCCCCCGCCATCCTACAGACCTGGCCTGCGGATGTTTCCTGAGACTGGGGGTGCCAGCGGTTGTGCCCGCCCATCTCCAGTCTCCTTCCTTCCCCGGCCCTTCCCTAGTGACCCCTACGGAGGACGGGGCTCCCCATTTCCCTTGGGGCTGCCATTCCCTCCTCCAACCCCCTTTCGGCCTCCACTGCCTTCATCCCCACCGCTGGAAGTCCCCTTCCCTCCCCAGAGTGGTGTTCACCCCCCACCTGCTGAGGGATACGATGAGGTAGGGCCAAGCTATGGCCCTGGGGAGGGGGCTCCGGAGCAGGAGAAATCCAGGGGTGGCTTCGGCAGCGGCTTCCGAGACAGTGTCCCTATCCAGGGTATCACGCTGGAGGAAGGTGGGTGTGCGACTGGGGGCTGTGAGTGTGAGTGTGTGTGTACAAGAGTTTGCTCTGCATGTTTGCTGAGGGCTGGAGTTGGGCTTCCCAGAGATGGGGCGTCCTTGGTCCCTCAGGGCCAGTCGGAGGGTCTCAGGAGGCAAGCGCTTGGTGCATGTGGCCGCCTGAATCCAGTTAAGCTTAGCTCCGAAGCGTGCATGGAGTACCTGCCCCCGCCCTTCTGCCTCTGCTCGCTGCCCCAGATCACAAAATCTCAGGGCTGGAAGAACTTTCAAGATCATTCAGCCTAGCTCCCTCAATTTGCGGATTCAGACGCCGTATTTCAGAGAGGGGCAGGGGCTTGCAGAGGTCCCAGTTGAGCATATTTCCCCTTGCCTCAGCTTTCCCCTCCACGTGGTGACTGTGGTCAGGGTTGGTGGTGAGGAGCCTTGGTATTTTGTGTCTCCTTCCTCCCACTGGCTCCCCCCGCCCGCAGCGCTGCTGACAGTCACTGCCCTAACGTTGCAGGCCGAGCCGGCAGGAAAGGGCTGGGATAGGGGCCTGGGAGCCCACATGGATGGAATTGAGCGAGATTGGATTGGGACCAGGTATCAAGACATATTGGGGAAACTGAGGCCCAGTGGAAGAGAAGCCAGTAGAGGAGGAGCCTAGAGGCATCCTAGACTGAGGCCTGCCTGGAATGGATTGGGGGTCTCTGGAGGAGGGGACCAGTCCCTAGCCCAATCTTTCAACTGCCCCTCCTTTACAGTGAGTGAGATCATTGGCCGAGACCTGAGTGGCTTCCCTGCACCTCCTGGAGAAGAGCCTCCTGCTTGAAGCATCGCCTGGCAACCCCAGCTCCCCCCAGCCTTGCCCACTTTCCCTTCCTCCTGGGGTGCTGGTTCCAGAAGCTTGGGGCCGATCTAGCTCCTCTTTCTCCAGCTTTTGCCTCCTCTCCCCTGCCCCTAGCTGAGGTGTGGCCCTTGGGCCTGGTGCTGCCTTGGAGGGCTAGGATGGGAGTGGGGTCCGAGGCCGGGAGTGAGGACAGACGGGAGTGAAGGCTGTGTCTAGTTGTGTACAGGCCATGGTGCTGGGAGGCTGGGGACAGCTTGATGGATAATAAACTGCTCACTGACTAGTGCTTCAGGCTCCAGAAGTCTTTGGAGAGAGAGATGGGGCAGCTTACTCGAGCCCTGGTCCAAGGAGGCCTAGGGGTTGTATCCCAAAGAGTTTCTCAGTGGACGGGTGCCGGGGAAGGTTTGGAGGGGCTCCAGATCCTCCCCAGCTGGGGTGAGGTTGGGGGCCAGGGCTGGAGGAGGCCTGTCCTCCACGGGAATTCAGATTGTTTAGGAGCTTTGGGATGGGGCCCAGGGATTTACGCGTTTCAAGTTCCTTTCTCTTGCCTCTGCTCAGATCATTCTGATTCATAGTCAAGGTCCCGAAACACCAGTCTAGTCCCTTTCCCCCATTTATAAAGGAGGAATCCCAGGCTCAGAGAGGGAAAAGGAGCTTGTCCAAGGTTACACAGCTAATCAACTAGCAGGTTGAACAACCACACTTCTGGGCTCCTGCCCCCAGCCCCCTTCAGATATCCTGACCCCTGGGGCTCAGGCCCCAGCGAGGCTTATCTCCCTGGAATACGGTTGGGGGTGAGGGAGGGCTGGCATGGATCCATCTACACTGGATTCTCCCACCTCCGGGGACTGTGAAGACATTCTGGAAAGATCTGTGCTTCAGAGGTAGGCTAGGAAACCAAACAGCTCCCCAGCAGCTCTACCACCACTTGCCCTGGCTCAGGGCATTGTATGACCTCCTGGCCTATCTTGCAGGGACACCCACATGTCACCACTGACAGGCCAGGGTTGGAAACCTGGTTTACCTCAGTTGACAGGCTACGGGACCAACCAGTGGGCTGGGGAGACTCAGACCTTGTCTGCCCTGGTCACTTGGAGCCTGGTACATGGTAGGCAGTGAGTACCACCAGGCTGAGTTGGTGAGGCCCGGCTGCAGGGGGGCATACTCAAAAGATAGTCAGGGAATTAGTACTTGAGAAACTAGCCTCACCTAAGGTTGGTGGGGCCTCTCTCTGCCCAGTGGGTCCAGACAGGCCTGGCAAGTACCTATTTTTTCAGGGGCAGGTGTGACGGAAGCTGGATTGGAGGGTTGGAAACCCAGGGTGATACCTTCTCCCCGCCCCCTTCCATCTGGGTTGCTGCTCTGAAATGAATTTCCTTTGTCTTCCTGAATACACATTTTTATGAACCAAACTGACATCAAATGATCAGCTCACTGGGCTTTGGCTTCTTTTTTAAAGATAACCCTCAGGGCGCCTGGCTGGCTCAGTCAGTCTCTTAAAAAAAAAAAAAAAAAAATCGAACAGTTCTACTCAGTAAATATAACTTTAAAAATAAAAAGATTTTATTTATTTAGAGTGTGAGCAGGGGGCGGGGCAGAGGGAGAGGGAGAGAGAGAATCTCAAGCAGACTCCCACTAAATGCAGAGCCTGACATGGGGCTCCATCTCACAACCCTGAGATCATAACCTGAGCCAAAATCAAGAGTTGGGCGCTGAGCCACTCAGGTGCCCAGTAAATCATTTTTGTACAGCTAGTATGTCAGGTCTTGGGGGGTGGGGCAGTGAATAATTTTAATATGGGGTATAAAAGGAGCAGAGATCAGGAACCTGTCATCCAGCTGTGGGGTTAGAGGGAACTAACTTAAAGATGACAGAATTAGGGCCCGGGCAGGTTAGGCAGAGCTACCAGAACAGGCCAAATCCTGGAGGAGAGAGGCAAACAAAGAAGGCTAACAGGTCGAGGGCTTGGCATTCTTGGAGGAGCCCGAGAAGTTCTGTTTGGTGGAAGTGGGGTGCAGGCTAAGTTCTGGAAATGGGGGACTGTGAAGGATTGGAGAAGTAAGCAGGGGCTGGATTCTGAGGGGCCTTGTAGCCACGCCAGGGAATTTAGAGTTGCCCAAGGATAGTGGGAGCTTCCCTTCTAGATGGCAGGCCTTAAGCTGGGAGTGATCCAATAGATCTGCCATGAAAGTCTTCCTGGGGTGGAGCTGACATCTGCCTCCCTGTGACTTGCTCTGCCAAGGCCTGTTCTGCCCTCTGGGCCCACACTTTATAGGCTTAACCTCTCTTCCTATTGGAATCCTGCCTTGGGTCAGCCTCCCAGGGTCATTGCCTCTTCCCAGGATCCCTACAGACATCTAGGTCCCTGAGGCTGGAGTTGAGAGAGAGAGGGAGAGAGGAGAAGGCCAGATCTTCAGCTGGTGCCAGAAAAGACTTTCTTGGCCCGGGTTTCTCAAAGTGTGGTCTGCGGATTTCTTGCATTTGAATCACTGGGGACAGTTTTTTGGTTTTGTTTCTTGTTGTTGTTTTTTAAAGATTTTATTTTATTTATTATTTTTTTAAGATTTTATTTTTATTTATTTGAGAGAGAGAGCATGAGTGAGAGAGCACAACAAGGGGAGCAGCAGAGAGAGAGGAAGAAGCAGACTCCCCACTGAGCAGGGAGTCCAACACAGGGCTCGATCCTAGGACCCTGAGATTATGACCCAAGCCCAAGGCAGCCACTTAACTGATGCCACCCAGGAGCCCCTGAAGATTTTATTTTTAAGTAATCTCTACACCCAACGTGGGGCTCAAACCCACATCCCTGAGATCAAGAGTTGCAAGCTCTGACTGAGCCAGCCAGGTGCCCCTGTTTTAGTTTTTAATGTAGATTCCTAGGCAACCCTTGACCTACTCAATTATAGACTATGGGGGCAGGACCCAGGTATCTGCATTTTAAAAAAACATTTTATTTATATATTTATTTGAGAGAGAGAGGAGCAGAGGGACAGGGACAAGCAGACTCCACGCTGAGCGCAGAGCCTGACTCTGGGCTGATTCCATGACCTGAGCTGAAATCAAGAGTCGGATGCTTAAGGGACTGCATCACCCAGGTACCCTGGTATCTGCATTTGAAAGAGTGCCCTAGGTAATTATTCAACACAAGAATGCTTGAGAACTAGAGTCATTTGTGTGCTACTTCCCACTCCAGACTCTAAAATAGCTCCCTGCCCCCTTCTCACAGATCTTGCCTGGGCTGTCCTGGGTGAGGCTCACCTGGAACAGTGTTCTTAGGAGAGGGGAAGGGCACTCACATTCTTGACATTGCGACCCATCTCTCCCCTCACCTGGCTCTGTCTTGCTGCTTAGATAATCTCAGTTGCTTGAAGAAGGTTGCAGAAAAAAATGGCACTTCCTGGAAATTCCAGATGTGGGAAGGGCAGAGGGATTTGGCTGCCTTTTGGGAGCTGGTTTTAGTGGCCTCCGTGTCTCATTCCTCACTTAGCCAACTCCCCACAAAGTCCCCCAGGGCCCCTACTGTGTGCCAAGCCCTGAGCTAGGCACGAGGGCCATGGGCATCACATTGGGGCCTTGCTGTGGAGGAACAGATAAAGCAGTCACCAGAGACCTTCATCCCTGGTGGCAGGGGTGAGGTGATTTTATGTGAGCTGTCCAAGAGGCAGAAACGGTCTGTTGCTATGGAAACACTGGGAGCTGAGCTTGAGAGGGAGGGTCAAAGAACATTTTACAAAACAGGTGATTTTGAGCTCCATCTTCAAGGAAGTGGGGGAGTTTTCTGGATAAACAAGATAAGCATGAGAGGGGTCATGCCTGAGGGTGAAAACATGAGGTCAAGACCACACTGGTGGGAAAGAATCAGACTTGGGATGCTTTAATCAGTCATGCAAAGGACTGATTTGGTCAGAGGGTCTACAGGTGTGGATATGTGTGTGTGCACATGCATGCATGATTTAAGGTTTAGAAACTGTATGGAGTGGGGCGCCTGGGTGGCTCAGTTGTTAAGCGTCTGCCTTCGGCTCGGGTCATGATCCCGGGGTCCTGGGATCAAGTCCCACTTCGGGCTCCCTGCTCCACGGGAAGCCTGCTTCTCCCTCTCCCACTCCCCTTGCTTGTGTTCCTGCTCTCGCTGTCTCTCTCTGTCAAATTAATAAATAAAATCTAAACAAACAAACAAACAAAAAATAGAAACTGTATGGAGAAATAGTGGTAGGGAGATCAGAAAGGGTTTTGCAGTAGTTTAGGCAAGAGAAGTTTGGTCTTTACTTACTGATTAGCTTAGCTAAATAGGTTCAGCTAAGGTGGGGGGTCAGGGAACAGAAAGGTTGCTGGGCTCGAGCACTAACTCAACCATCAACTCTCTGTGTGATCTCTAGCACGTCCCAGACCTAACTGGGCTCTAGCTGCCTCATCTATAAATGTTTATCGCGGTCCTACTATGCAGCATCCTCTGGGATAGCTACTGGGGATAGAACTGTAAGTGAGACGAACATGGTTCCTTCTCTCACGGAACTCAAAGTTTATAATAGGCAGTTACAGAACAATGTGTAATGGTGGGGAAGTACTTCGGGATCTTTCAGAAAGCTCACTGAACCTATCCTTTCCCATTGTTTGTGTATCTCTTATAGTAACGGTAGATGACTATGTTTTGAGAGAATCTATTGAATCCGTCCCTTTTGGGGTGGGGGAGGGGGTGTGGACAAGACATTCCCTGAAAGGAATGGATATTCACGATGTCAGTTGTCCTGGATGAAGAGTATCCAGGGTCAGGAAATGTGGATTTATCACTCAGACCTTGCGTAACGTTAGAAGGAGCATCGCTCTATGTTTTTCTCTCTTAGGCCTGAACCCTGAGGGATCTAGTTAGACCTGAGTGCATCCAAGTGGCCTCTACCACAGTGGGGCAGGATCCTGGCCGGGCAGTAAGTCAGGGAGCCAAGGTTGGGCAAGGTGGCTGTTCCGTAAGTAGGTAGCACGACATTTTATGTTCCTCTGAGTAATTCTTTTTAGCTCTTTTTTTTTGAAGATTATTTTTCTTCCTTTCTTTCTCTCTCTCTCTCTCTTTTTTTTTTTTAGAGAGAGAGTGAGGGCTGGTGTAGAGGATGCATGGGTGTGAGTGGGGGTGGGGTGGGGGTGGGGTGGGGGGCAGATGGGGCAGGAGGGGGAGGGGCAGAGGGAGAGGGAGAGTGAGAATCCCAGCAGGCTCCATGCCCAGCGTGGGTTGCAGGGCTCTATCTCACGACTCTGAGATCATGACCTGAGCCAGATGCCTAACCGACTGAGCC